CTCCGATGCTGGTGGAAGATGATGACTGCCGCTGCTAGACTTCTCTTTCAGTGGGTCTTAATTTTGCCCTAGTCAAAATTCAACAAAAGGACATAATCAAAGCAACTTAGCAATATCAAGACGACAATTCGCGGGATCCAATTGGCGAGGCAGACGTGAGGCCATAGCCCGGAAGCTTGGTGGCATGGGCTCAACCCAGCGACGTGAACCTACGATCTCCATCAGGAGGCCCGTCTCTGCCGGGAGGTCCGGATGCACAACCTTGTCCTGGAGCGCAAGCCCGGGGTCGGTACGCCCGTACGCCGAAGCTTGGTGGAACGGGCTCAACCCGACGACGTGAACCTCCTTTCTCCATCAGGAGGCCCGTCTCTGCCGGGAGGCCCGAATGCAAAACCTTGTCCTGGAGCGCAAGCCCGGGGTCGGTACGCCCGTACGCCGAAGCTTGGTGGCACGGGCTCAACCCGGCGACGTGAACCTCCGATCTCCATCAGGAGGCCCATCTCTGGAGGGAGGCCCGGATGCACAACCTTGTCCTGGAGCGCAAGCCCGGGGTCGGTACGCCCGTACGCCGAAGCTAGGTGGCACGGGCTCAACCCGACGACGTGAACCTCCGATCTCCATCAGGAGGCCCGTCTCTGCCGGGAGGCCCGGAAGCACAACCTTGTCCTGGAGCGCAAGCCCGGGGTCGGTACGCCCGTACGCCGAAGCTTGGTGGCATGGCCTCAACCCAGCGGCGTGAACCTCCGATCTCATCAGGAGGCCCGTCTCTGCCGGGAGGTCCGGATGCACAACCTTGTCCTGGAGCGCAAGTCCGGAATCATATGCATGAGAATAACGCCGCCCACACTCGTACGGATACGCTAACCGTACGTCAACTCGGTCCAACGCCAAAGGAAAAACCAGCCATGTCATCGAGGCCGGGCGGACCAACCATGCAGATCGTCATTCTAAAAAACCGTCCCCAACTTGCTCCAAGCGGCCCGCCTGAGAACCCCGCTCTTCCTGCCAATGATGATGCCTCTCAGTCAGATAGCTCGTCTGGGTCAGATAGCGAGTACGCTCGTACCCCCGTACGCCCGATACGTCTGATATGCCCCGATACGCCCGATACGCCTGTATGCCTGTATGCTTGTACGCCCTGCACATCACTAGAGCACCAAGTCAAACATAGCTGAGCCCCGATTCAATCCATTCTGACCAAGCATTGCATTTAGACGGAAGATACTCACCAATGCCGACAAGTCACAATCACGTAGCATTGAGTGAGAGTTGTGCACGTTGTAGCTGTCACCGTGTACACCCGTATGCTCTGCGCTCGTGCGCCCCTACACACCAAACATAGTCCAAGCGACAATTGGTGGGTCGGGTATCATCCACGCAAGCCCCACCAGGCAAAGTGGACACAATGTCACAGCCCGGAGGTTTGGTTGCACGAGACCGCCATGGCGAGACGGCCACACGGTCATTACCAGAGGGCTTGGTTGCACGAGCTCAATCCGCCGAGACAGGAACACATACATTCATCGCCTGGAGCCTTGGTTGCACAGCCTCGTCATAACACGTAAGTCTGAGATGATATTGATGAAAACCATGCTGCTCAATCTTGCACAGATAGGTCCATACCATCAATATCAAAACTACAAAGTACGGGCGCAGGGCACCTTGTCAAAGCCTCAGAGCGGAGCACCACGAGCTAGTAGATCAAGTGTGGAACTCTCCTTCAATATTAAAAAAAAATTGTTTTCCAGTCTGGAATTTAATGAGGTCCGACCTCACTTGGAAATGAACGGGCGGCGGCAAAAAAAACTATAACGCCCCGATCTCGGTGTTTAGTCGACCACGGCTCGATCCTTGGACAAGGAAATGATCAAACTATTTTTTAAGTCTAGGATTAGCGGTTCGGTCAGGGCGACCGTAAGACCGCCCCCCCGGGTCGAAAAGGTATGTGGGAGGTCATGCCCCGAGCCCCTCTCGTACTCCCGTTGTCCGACGTTGCTGTCTAAACAGCTCGCATACTCGTTTGATCCAATCAATGGTGCGGCGACTATATGACCGGTCTTCAGGCCGAAGGTATGCGAGAGGTCATGCTCCAAGCCCCTCTCGTACATCCGTTGTCTGACGTTTCTAGGCTTAACAGCCCGCAAACTCGTTTGATAGGGTCAGCGGTGCGGGTCCGTTCTGGTCTGATCATGTAAGGCATCGCCCTTACGTTTGGCCGACTTCAGTTTCACTTTCAGAAAGGGATAACCAGATTTTTCCTAAGTATGAAACTAGCTGTACAAGTCAAGGTGTAAGACCGGCCTCCGGGTCGAAGGTAAGCGAGAGGTCGTGCCCCGAGCCCCTCTCGTACATCTGTTGTCTGACCGTTGGCCGAACAGCTTGCACACTCATCGGTCCTAGATCGATAGTGTGCGGGTCAGCCCCGCCTTACCAAGCAGGGTGCGGTCAAGGTCGGCCCTGCCAACCTTCCGCCCCTCACGGCCTAGGTGGGGAGCCAGATTCCCGATTAGTTCTCCAAGTATTCTTGAATGAAAAACGACTAAGTAAATTGAAAGAACGAACGACGCATATATACAAGCTCAAGCGAAAAATCAATCACAGAGAACAAGTCCAAGATCATCATTTCCCGGTTTTCTTCTCCTCATCACAGGTAGTCTGCATACCATGTCAGCCAATTGCAACCCTCCTTGGTCCGCAGCTAAGCTCGGATATACTCCGGACACCGGTCTTCAATCCTGGAAGTGACAAGCTCCGGAAACTGTAATGGGCCTTGAACAACGCAACTGCCTCATCTCCTACATCATCGAAGCTCAGACATGCTCCAGATAACGGGCCTCGAGCCTAAAGCTTGCAAACTCCAAGATCACTAGGGAGGCTTTAACACCGCAACTACCTTATGATCCGCATCCCGGGACAACGCATTCAATTGGTCTTACTTTGATTTAGATTCGAATGGAACTTTCATATCCTTGGTCGCCGCCACGCTCGGGCATGCTCTGATCGTTGGCTCCGTGGGAAGCTGTGTAGCTTCATGGCATCCTCAGTTTTCTCCGTCCACTCCTGAGCCTAGACTACATAGCGCTGGTTCAGGCTCTTCTTTAACATGCTTCAAAATTCAAACTAAGTGCGTGGTCATGACGAGGCCTATAATCATCACCTCACCATCCATACCAAGTCATGCACGCTCATCTCAGTCCAAGTTCGTGCAAGGCTATCTCCAAGTCAAGTTCGTCTAAGGCTATCTTTTGGTCGAGGTTCCACGTGCATGATAGTGCATGAATTACATATGGGCTTATGGGCGGGCGAGAGCCAACCTAAGCTCCGAGCTCGGGTCTCTCACTCCTAAGGATGAATCATGGTGGACTACTCACTGCATCCTCCCGGGAACGTCAGACGAGCATTGCTCACAAGTGAAGACCGGTCTTTGCCATCCCCTTAGCAGATGGCGACCGTTGCAGTTGCACGTAGTGGCCGGAGAGCTCACCCATTTGCTTGGTTTTAAACAACACATCTGGCTGCTAATTGGACAAACAAGACCCCGGACTGCTAATCGGACAAACAAGACCTCGGGCTCCTAATAGGATAAGCAAGACCTCGGGCTGCTACCCAGATGAAGGAAAATCCTATCCTTTTGTAAGCAATGGGGATCAATGTGGATAGTATAGCATCCGACCTTTCTAGATCATAGCTCGGTTGTCCGTCATCAGCGGGCAGCTGGGTGGATAACATCTCCCGAGGATACCCCGGATCACCATCCTCAGCATACAATTGCGACCCGCCTTCTCCAAGCATACCTTGGCTCAACCGACACCACTGGCAAACAAACTTGCAACTGGTCTTTTCGGAACATATCTCGGCCTACCAGTAAAGCAAGCACTCAATCAAGAACCGGGGGGATTGACCTTCCTTTGCTTTATTTTAAGGCTTCAGTGTACTCTTTTTCCTTCACTAGGATTTTTTCCCACTGGGTTTTTTCCTAGTAAGGTTTTAACGAGGCACCCCGTCATCGTGAATAAAGGAAGAGGTCTCCCGGTCAGAACAAGGAAGACTCCATCCTTTCACAAGCAACCGGATCAAATTCAAGGCTCGTTAATGACCGGCCAGCCGGACCAAGAACCGGACCAATTCCAAAACAGCTTAACTACTCCCTTTTAGCTGAGTCTACTACTCGACTAAGGGAGTGGGGGACTCGTGTTGGGATAATGGGCCAAGTCCAAGAATATTGGCCCGTTACCCCTGGGCTTTGGCCCGACCAAGCTCAGAACACAGTTCGACTAGTAGATACTGGTCCGGGATTATCGAATTACTTATCGAGTTGACTGGTCCATTAGCGTTAGTATTAGTTGATAAATCGGGCCAAGCCCATGTAACATCTAATTGGTGGGCCTGTTGTATACGCCTATAAATAGGCCACCAACCCTTTGTATTCTGGGAAGTTATTCTCACTATACTGAAATGCTGCCGAATTCTCTACCCGAGTTATTTTCTACCAACATATATAATTATATATATATATATATATGGGTGAGATCACATACAAACCATGCTTAATTTACTAACCTACAAACTCAATAATATGCAACACTTTGAATTTCAATATGCAGTACAAATAATGTAAAGATGCAGTCTTTGAATTTCAATATGCAATACAAATAATGTAAATATGAAAATGCTATTTTATGGCTTGAATAATATGAAACACTTTGAACTTCAATGTGCAATACAAATAATGTAAATATGATTTGAATGGGAGAACTAGTTTGTATGTGATCTCACCCCTGCATCTTTACATTATTTTTACTGCATGTTGAAGTTCAAAGTGCTGCATATTATTGAGTTTGTAGGTTAGTATTTTAAGCATGGTTTGTATTTGATCTCTTATATATATATATATTAATTATTTGTGTTGATCGGGTTTCGGGTCATTGATCGGGTTTCGGGTCATTGATCGGGTCGACTCACCGGGTCCGAGGTGACCTGTGACTCAGTCATCTGTTCGGGTCACTTTCCAGTCCTATTCTTTAAACATAGGATGAGATATGTAGTAATTTAAAAAGCAAAAATGCGATGCTATTTTTTACGAGGTTATTCCCTAAATATTACTCCTACTAAATTAAGGCTGATTTTCAAGAATGTGATCATTTTTACATTTGGACAAGAATGTGACTAAAATAATTTGACAGTCAAATATTCATGTCAATGCTCCATTTTCATGTCATTGTCGGATGTCACTGCCGCCACCGCCCGTGTCAATGTCAGCCGCCCTGTGTCGCCGCCGCCAGCCAGCCATAGTGACACCTCTTTAGCGACAACTTTACAGTGGCATTTTCTGTAGTGATATCTCCACCAACCTCTGCCCACAATGACATCTTCGTCGTTCGGCCACCGTCGCTAATGGTCACAATGATACAAAATTACTCCGGCGACCGCCCTCCGATTAGTTAACATCGCCTTCCCGACGGTGACCACCTCTCCCCAACCCCTGCACCACCACCACTGCCCTGCCCTCACACCACCTTCATTGCCCCCCACTATCATCCCCACACCACTGCAACCATCACCCACCCAATCTAGTGGTCCGACCCTCCCAGTTGCCGCCGCACCGGTGGTGACTGCCCTCCCATCCCCTTGAAGCAAACCAACCCTTCCCTAGACCTAACCCTCTCTTCAGCATCCCCAATCGTCACACCCCATCCCACAACCATAGCCGCCCAAATCAACCTCACCACCGCCCCCACCCAACCTTAATGCCGCCCAATTCAACCATACCACTAGGATTTGAAATCTCACATTGACATGGATGAGGCAGCGCACGAGCAAAAAAGGAGAAAGTGAGCAGGGACAGGCTTGGCAAGGCCTGTGGCGGAGCATGGCGAGGTTGGAGACGGAGGTGATGCTTTTATGCCTAGGGCGAAGGACTTTCTATGTGTTTCCATGGAGCTGCAAGCCTGCAACGAGATAGAAAGATGATCTGGGATGTGTAGATCTGGGCCGTTCTCACGTGGAAGATAGGTGGGGATAAATGAGAAACTATAAAGTGGTCATATTTTTGGAATTAAAAACTTGGGAAATAATATTAGAGTATGTTAATAATCTAGCATGTAAAAATGCATCGTTTCAAATATTCCGTATAAGAATAAATTTCTGTACATCATCATGTTAAAAATAAAAATATGGAAAAATCAAGTCTCATAATGATTAGTATTCAATCCATTTCACTGTCTTTATTTCAATTTGTGTCTGTATTATTAAATTTGGTCTCATATTAGAATTGATAATAGGTACTTAGTCATGTAATTTAAATTAGAATTGTTATATTTTTCTTCAAATTACTTATAATTTTCTAATCAAATAAATAATACTACGAGTAGTATACAGTTCAACTTTTATCCGTCTGATCCGATACTTTAATTTCATTACACGACATTAATGCATAATAATAATGGATAAACTAAATAAATTTTGGAAAAAATACGGTCTACTCCGTAAACGATACGGAGTAAACTACTTTAACAGTATCTATTAAGCATCTTATTACCACCGCATCAATGAATGAATATACCTGACCAAATCTTGGAAATTCCCATTTTGCCTTCTTCTTTCTTCTCCAAGACAGTTCTTCAGACCTCTGGACTACCCAACTGCACGCCTTCCCAGAACTCAACTACCGGCCAGTTTGGTGTGGTAGACAGAGAGCGACGGCTATAACATCGCACAAGCTCAGTTAGTTGCTGCCTCGGCGAAAGACCGATCATCTTTTCCGTGCAGATTTGCCTGCTACACTCTTCTTCAATCTTGATACGTGAGTCTTTCTTTTATCATCAGCTCATCGCATTGCGCTAATCCGTACGGTTAGATAGGTATATTGGTGTACGTTGAGAGCATTGATATAGCACAGAGTAATGGGACCCAAGAGGCGCAGCAAGGCTGATACCGCTAAATCCTCTGGTTCTCCCGCTGATGAACTCGACTCGGTAACTGTATATGATTCAGAGGGCACTGATTCAGCGTCTTATGCGAGCATTAAGGTTGAGTGTGAGAAGGCGTTAAGCTCCCTGAGCAGGGGTACCCATACCAAAGCCCTAAAGGCGATGAAGGACTTGTGTGTGAAGCACGATAGATCGCCTTATGCTGCTTTGGTTCACCGGGTCCATGGCACCGTTTGCCAGAAAGTGGCCTCTCTAATCGGTGACCCCAAAGTGAAAAATAGGCATATGAAGAATGCCATCGAGTCTGCCAAGAAAGCCACAATCATGTCCCCTAACTCAATCGAATTTGCACATTTCTATGCCAACTTGTTGTATGAAGTGGCCAATGAAGGAAATGAGTACGAGGAGGTTGTTCAAGAGTGCGAGAGGGCATTGGCAATAGAGAGCCCAATTGATCCAGGAAAGGAAAGCTTACAGGAGAGTCAATTGAAGCTACCCACTCCTGAGGCTCGGATTAAACATGTAGAGAATGAAATTAGGAATTTGATTCAGAAATCCAACATTGCTTCCATATCCACTTGGATGAAACATCTGGGCAATGGGGATGAGAAGTTCAGGTTGATACCAATAAGGAGGGTGCCTGAGGACCCGATGGAATTGAGTTTGGTACAGTCAAGAAGGCCCAATGAGATTCAGAAGGCAACTAAAACACCTGAGGATAGAAGGAAGGAGATTGAAGTTCGAGTGGCTGCAGCAAGGGTATTGATGAATAAGTCAAAATCTGGCCAGTCACTAAACGAAGGAGACAAGGGCTTGGATCCCGCTACAGGGTTAGGGCATAGGGGGAGTGAGAGAAGGAAGAGCGGAACCACGAGGAAGAAGGCATCTTCCACGGATAGATGTGGCTGGGTGCAGTCTTATTGGAATTCTATGAGTATGGATATGAAGAAGGAGTTGCTTAAAATTAGGATTTCTGATCTCAAGATTCATGTCAGTTCTTTGAAGGATGGATTGTCAAGTCAGATGTTTTCTGAAGCTTTACATTTCTATGAAACTTATAAAACTTGGAAGTTTTGGGAGTGTTGTAAATGCGCTGAGAAATTCACAGACCCTGGAATGCACATTCAGCATGTCAGGCATGAGCACATGGGGGATTTGGCACCTAAACTTCAATTAGTTCTGCCTGAAAATGTCGGCAATGAGTGGACCAAGGAGCTTCTAAACTTCCATTGGAAACCATTCGATCTTAGTGCAACCACAAAAATGCTTGAGAAAACCTTAAAACCTCAAGAGTGTGAGAATGGAGTGGATCAAACTAAAGAAGAATTCTCCAATGCCTACTCGCATGATGAATCAGGTCTCTTACCTGGAAAGAAGTATTTGATTGATGGACACAGAAATACTGCTATTGAAAGGAGAGAGTACGAGAAGACCTCAGATGTTGAACTCATTAAATTTGATGGTGATGGAGGCCCTGATGTATGGCCTATGTCTGATGACCCAGACCGTGCCAAATTACTTGAAAGGATACAGACTGCATTCCAATCACTTATTATAAATAAATGCCTTGCTTCAAGTCATCTACACAAGATTACGAGTTTTGCAGCAGAGGAGCTAAAGGGTCATTATGGTTCTCAGATGCTTAACTGCAATATCAATCAAGTTCCATCATGCATTTGTTTTTTGCGTTGCAAAGATCTTATGAAGGTACTAAAATATCTACAGGAGATATCTCAAAGTTCTGGCACTACTAGACACTCAGAGAGAAATGATGGTATAGAAGACACAAATGGTGGGACTACAGGTGCTGATGCTATGGAGAGAATAGTTTTAAGTGAAGACTGTTCATATTTATTGTTTGATGAGCATTTCCTGCCCCTCAATTGTGTTGACAGTAGGCTTCATAATGCGGTCAGTGATGATAAAATTCCCGCGCTTTCATGTAATATACCATATGATCACAGCATTTTGCTTGATTCAAATGCATTTTTGTCTTGGATGTTCATGGGACAAACAAGTGGCGAGCAATTGGAGAATTGGTCACGTTTAAGGGAGGAGAACGCTCAACAAGGATCCGAAATTCTTAGATTGCTCGAGGTGGAATTTCATGAACTCCGGGTACTCTGTGAAAGAAAATGCGAGCTATTGAGTTACGAGAAGGCTGTGAAGGCCGTGGAAGATTTCTGCATAGAAGAGGGTAATAAAAGAGCTCATGTAACTGACTATGTCCCCCAAAGCTATAATGTTATTTTGAAGAAGTGGCGAGAAGAGTTTGAAAACCACCAAGGTGATGCAAATATAGGTCATAGGATCGAAGTGAAAGTCATTTCAAATGTTCTAAATGATGCGGAGTCTCTTAATGTCACTCAATTTGGATACGGGGAAACTTACAGTGATATGACGTCTCATCTTTCTGACTTAGAATTGGGTGAAAATGATGATTGGAGGTTGAAGGACTTCCTTCACCAGGCTGACTCATGTGTAGAAGTTGCAATTCAGAGACAGAAAGAACGATACTCAACTGAGGTCGGTTGTTAGTCATTGCTTTCTCAGCTCCCTAACTGCATTGACAATGGAAGAATCCTTTGTGTTCTCAACTGAGGTCGGTTGTTAGGCATGCTCTCCTCATTGTAGTTTTTTTTTCTAATGCAGCTGAGCAAAATTGATGGAAGAATCCTTTGTGTTCAAAATGGGGTGCGTCTTTTGGAATCGAAGCTTGAGCCTATATCTGGCAATGATTATAGGCGGGTATTAGGGCCCCTGATGAAGTCATTTCTGCGGGTTTGTTAATGCTTTTAATGTGCTTCTGTATGTAGTTGGTCAGTCAGTACTGGAATGGAATCTGTTTTCCACATATTTTTCTTTACTTTGTATTCTACATGATAATTCCTCCAGGCTTACTTAGAGGGTTTGGCGGAGAAAGATGCCACTGAAAAATCTGATGCTGCAAGAGAAGCATTCCTGGCAGAGCTTGCCCTTGATTCAGAGAAGAATTCAGGTGGAGGAAATGATAATTTAAAACATGCAACTGAAAAGACAAAAGAAAAAAAAAGAAACAAGGACTATCGAAAAAGCAAGGGTGCAAAGGTTGACTAGTAGTATTTAGAATGTATTTTATTCCTTTTTATGGAAGCGTAACTTTTCACTGGACCATAGATGATTCTTTACCTACATCTTCTCAGGCTTCCACTGGAACTATGCAGCCCATTCATGACCACGAGACTTCTCAATGCATGTATGTATTTTTATAATTGAGAGAACACCACACATGCAAACATTCTAAGAGTATTCAAAGAAAGCTTAAACTACCTTTTATATTCTGCACATGTCTGTACCATACCAGTTCTTCTCGAGGTGTTAATGATAAGGAAAATGAAGGGGGTGAACTTTTAATTGTTGGAAGCAAAGATTCTCCATCTCTGGAGGAGTGCAAGCTAGGAAATATGCTTGAAGAAGAGGAAAGAAAGCTCGAAGAGACATTGGAGTACCAAAGGAAAATTGAAAATGAGGCTAAACTCAAGTATCTTGCCGAGGAACATGAGGTAGTTGGAACAGCACTTTCAGAGAAGATGCCTGCAGAAGTAGTACCTGATGCTTATTCGAGATACAAGGAAGATCAAGATGCAAGTGAGCAAGGGAAAAATAACGCCAAGGTGATTTGTATTAGACAACTGTTTTTCAACTTTTACCAGAACATGTGGCTTTGGGAATTCTTTTAGTTTTAAAGAATGCATTGGTAGGATCCATTGCTAAATAAATTTTGAGACACATTAGGAAATTCTAACATATCCTCTCACAATTTCAGGATTCAATGTTTCCAACAGATGAATCTCCTGACATTTTGGAAGGTCTTCTAAGGAGCACTGCTGATGTTGATGCAAATGGAGCGGGTATGCCTCTTTCTATGTACAAGTAAAACTTCACTGTATTTGAAGGTAATGTTTGCAAACTCCAAATGATTTCCCTCCATTCGCTTGTTTAGAGAATCAGAATGAAGGAATGCTTGAAGCTGAACCTGCAGTTTCTGATCAGACTGGAAGAAAGAGTAGGCGCCAGAAGGGATTGAAAAAAGATTATGAAGGAAAGTATCGAACTGTTTCTTCTGGTGCAGATAAAAACATTGTCAGTAGACTGATGTCATTTGAAAATTTGCAAGGTCAGTGGAAGTGTATATTTTTACACGTTTTCATTTCTAACCTCTGTGGTGATTTCACTACTACAATTTAAAAACACTATTAACATGAGTTTAAACAAAACACTATTTATGGGACATCCGGTACTTGTGTTGTTCGTGGCTCTTATAATCTGCTTACATTTTTAGTTGATAGTATGGGTAAATCACTAAAGTGGGAAAAGGAAAGTCAAAGGTTTAATTGCACTACACCAATAGGGCAATAGGAAGGCTTTGCTTGTTATAAGCTGTAAGGCTGTAACCTGAACTATAAAGAATTAAGATTGACATACAAATGTGCTGCATTTAGTAATATCACATCTTGTGGATCCGGGATTTCTAGTTGGGAACAGATTGATTTCCTAGTAATTTTTGACTTCCTAATGTTCAGTTATAGCAGCTTTATTATCAACATTTCGGCTACTACCCTCATCTTATTTGTCGCCTATTTAATGCACATAAATATTCGTATATATGCCTTATTCAGGGATGATATCAAAGTCTGTACAAGGTTATTCTGGAGAGTTACCCATTGAAGGGGCCACTGAAACAGCCGTAGTTAATGTATATGGGACAGGGCTGCAGAATGAAATTGGGGAATATAATTGCTTCTTGAATGTCATTATCCAGGTCTGTAGTTATATCAGGATGGGCTTTACTATTGTTTATTAAGTCCTGATCCTTTTCTGAGGGTTGTAGTTTCACATGTTTCCCTTTCTGTTACATTTCAGTCATTGTGGAATTTAAGCCACTTTCGAGATGAATTTTTGAGATCATCATCGAATCACGTTCATATTGGCGATCCTTGTGTTACATGTGCTTTATATGGCATTTTTACTGCTCTTTGTTTGGACACGCAAAGAGAAGCGGTTGCTCCTACCTCATTGAGGACTGCTTTGAGCAACCTATACCCTGATAGCAATTTCTTCCAGGAGGTAATGTTTATTCTTGGGCTTTGCTTGAAATTTTCACTAGTTTTATACAAGTATAAGTTTTTTAAAACACACGGTTTATATTCAGACTATGATCTGCAGGGGGAGATGAATGATGCTTCAGAAGTACTAGATGTAATATTTGATTGCCTTCATCAGTCGTTTACTTCAGATTTGGGTTCTTCTGAGACAAAATCAACATCTAGGCGCTTGGACTCCTGGGATTGTACTAACAGTGCTTGTATTGTGCATTCTATTTTTGGAATGGATATCTTTGAAAAAATGCTCTGCCCCAAATGCAAACTAGAATCTAGACATCTGAAATATACTGCTTTCTTTCACAATATTAATGCTAATGCATTGAGAATGACAAAGGTATCCTCTGCTCAAGTATTGCTTTCATTTGATAATAGTTTCTTTTTTAGTTTTTGGCCATTAATCTTAGAGGTGAACACATTTTTGTAAGGTAGATGTTTTTGGATTTTTACATAACAAAGACATCGGATCTTGCATTCTAGGTTAAGCATCAAGAAAGCTCATTTGATGAACTTATGAATCTTGTCGAGAGGAACCACCAGTTGTCTTGTGATCCAGATGCTGGTGGGTGTGGGAAACATAACTTCATTCACCATTTCTTGTCAACTCCACCACATGTTTTCACAATAGGTAATTCCCTTTTCACCTTTGCCGATTTCTACATTTACATAATCGGCATGGGCTGGAGTAGGAATATCTCAGCAATCTGGATTGTGATGCTTTGTATCTACAGTATATACTATATCTACAGTATAGTTTTATAAAAAAGAAAAGCCATCAACTTTTTGTTTAAATATTTTTAGATTGTGATGCTTTGTTTTTTCTCTGCAGTTCTAGGATGGAAGAATACTTGTGAGAGTCTTGATGACATAAGAGCAACATTGGCAGCCATATCTACTGAGATTGACATTAGTGTCCCTTACCATGGTTTAGATCCAAACAACAGATATAGCCTAGCCTCAGTAGTAAGTCTCACACTTCTCTATTGTGTAGCTGGTTAACTGGTGTACATTCATTTATGGCTATATCATATATGTACTTATGAGTACTGTATCACACTGTACAGCACTTCAACTTGAAAAAAATATCTGATATTTTCAAGTCTGAATCTTTATTTATCAACTTACTACTACTAACAACAACAACATTACCCCAGTGGTGCAAAGGCCCTATGGGGGGACTTCCATCCTACTACTGTGGTTGTTATTTGTTAATTTGATGTGTGTTGGATATAATTTGTGCAGTCTTCCTCAAATGTTCATTTTCAGGTTTGCTATTATAGACAGCATTATCACTGTGTTGCTTATAGCCGTCATCATGAGAAGTGGATAATGTATGATGACATGACTGTGAAGGTAAATTTTCAGTGCCATTTCATCACGCGCTCTTATCATTATGAACGTTGATCAATAATGTGCCTGTTTATCTCATCTTTGGACATTTGAACTTCAGGTGATTGGCAGCTGGGATGATGTTCTCATGATGTGTATAAAGGGGCATTTGCAACCTCAAGTCTTTTTCTATGAAGCTGCAAACTAACTTTGCGTGGTCGGGTCTTGGGGAAGCTTTGATCCTGGCTCGTGAGCTGTATAATCCTTGTATACCCACAAATTTGTAAATGTCAAAAGGAATTTTACAGAAAGCGAAACAGTCTAGAATCAGTTAGCATATTGAAGAGAAAAGAGAAATTGGAGTTATTGGCCTGGAAGGTAAAATCACAGACAATCAATCTGTGATCGTAGTTGTATCACTTGTATACTTGTCTGGATTGCTTCTTCAATGATCAAATTTTGGGAAATAAGAAAGGAAAAAAGGCCTTTGTATAGATATATTGATGAGGGCTGTAGTTTTTTTTTTAATACAAAATCAGGTTTTGTAGGCTGTAGTAGGGACTAGGGAGAAAAAATTGTGTGGAATTTTAATAGTTAGCTCTTGTATTTTCATGTACGTGAATTGTGGAAATAATACGGAGTAATATGATAGTGATGAACTGTTCGAAACTGGCCTTGATGATCTGTATTATCCCTTGGTTCATCTATTGAGTCACTCACATACTATGTTAAATTCGCATGCAAATTTATATTTGTAATCACAAGACTCATAATGTTTAATATGCGTTTAATTTGGTTACTGCCACTCAGTATATATTGGTTAGTATGTTACACTTCATTTGTTCTAATTTATTTGTCTATGTCAACTTTTTTTTATTGTTTTTTGTATTTGTCCTTTGTGAGACCAATGCACAAATACAACATTGATCTCTTTTTATAATTTACTCTTTCTATACTTGCCAATTTCCCCTTCATTCCAAGAGGAACATGAATGAAAGTGCTTTTTAATGAGTGCATTTTTTATCGTTCAAAAAAAAATGAGTGCATTTTTTATTTTACGTACAATATTAAAACTTTTGTTTAATTTATCACCCTTGTAAAACGATGTGATTTGTTCAATGTGTACAGAAAGCTTGAACAAATTAATAAGACTAAGAATTATAAGGAAGGATTATAATTAACAATTAATAAGAGAATAATATAATTTCAATGACGCTTAAACTTTTATGGTGTTCCATATTAATTATAAACATGATGCTTCATGCAGTAAAGTTGTGAACATTTTTAATTAAGTATTGTCGTGTAACATTTTTATTTATTAAAATAAAATAGTAAATAGTTTTTAATTAAATAGAAGAGCATTTATATACTATATACTATCTATCTATACACACACACGTAGTATATTTATATACACCATGTTTTCAAAAGTTTAAAGCCTTTCAAATTAGGAGACTCAAAACTTCTAACTATTTTTACTAATTTGCGGATGAATCAGCAGCCTTGCATTGAGGAGTGGGGGAGGGGAATAGATCAATTAGGCTCTTTTGACTTGACTAGGCCACTTAGATATTGAAAAATCTTCATAATTTTACTCAAATAAATTCAATTCTGCAATTTGCTGATCATAGTAGACGATTGCTTTTGCCAAAAAAAGTAGACACCTTTAAATTTATTGTTCATCCCTTACCTTTTGTCAAATATTAAGAGATCGTTTGGAGACCTCTTTTTTGACTTATCAAGCTTATCAGCCAGCTTTTCACCAAACACGTAATTTTTGATTTCGCGCGCTGAAGTTTGTAATAAGCAGAAAAAGTAAGGTTTGGGTTACTTTTCTGGCTGTTTTGGCTGAAGTTACTATAGAGAATCATTTTAGCTATTTTTTCATATAATTATTTATTTAATTTATATTGATGCTATTTTTTCTTTATAATGAGCTCTGTTTTGTAATTTATTTATTCATCCGTAGACTATATTGATGCTATTTTTTCTTTCTAAAAACATAAACAAATTAAACACATATACAAAGGTTTCAATAAGTGACATTTACATAGAGGAAAGGTGTTATTTTAATACAGGGTTATGACATAAATATTACGGGCACTAATAAATTGGTTATGAACAAAACAAAACGACCTTTTGTTTAAATTTCTAATAAACATTACACTTACTAAGATACCCCTAACCCCTAGTGACTTTATCTAAAAGTGACATAATCCATCACAGTGTCCTCCGATACAGTGACCTCATCCACCGGCCATAGTGATAGTGACCAAACAACAGTGACAGTGACCACTGTTGGTTGGGCAGTGACCACTCATTCGACCAGTGACCAACACTGTCACCGGTCACAATTACCAAGGCTGTCGATCAAGTGACCGTCTCACACAATGACTCACCGTCATCAGTGACCACCACCACCAACGGCCAAAGTGACCACTATCGCCGGTCAGTGACCACCCGACAATGATTACCCACAGTCACAGCGACCACCCGACAATGACGACTGTCGGGGTACAGTGACCAGCGCCGGACAATGACCACCACCACCACCGACCATCACAGTGACTACCAATTAGCACCACCACGCCTTCCAACTGTTGAAGCCAACCGCCACAGCCCCAACACCGCCCCCAACTCCGCCTCTCGTAAATGCGCTAAAGCCCAGACAAACATAAACTTCACCATACCCCTGTTTGACTTCGCCGCGCCAGCATCTACACGTCGGAACCCTAACTTTAGAAATTAGGACGCACATTTGTAAACCCGGCCCATACACACCCATTGTAACCCTCAAACTGGAAATCAGGCCGCAGATCTGCAAATCCAGCCACCACACCGCCGATTTGGAAGTCATCTCCGCCGCACAACACCAACGATTTGTTGTGAAGAAGATCAAGCCATCATCCTGTTGGGTGTGTTTCGGAAAAACGAATAAATATTAATTAAATTAATTAATAAATAAAATAGCTAAAAGGAAACAGAAAATAGATGGAGCAGAATTTAGCCAGAGCTCCTGCTACGCACGATGTCCTTAAAACGTATTCGTCGCCTCCCACGGTGCTAGGAGTGTTGCAACGACCGTTTCTCAGGATACGGTGGCTAACGAACGATCGTTTGAGCACACAAACGAAAGTCCCGACGAACTGGAACAATAGCAGAACACTTAGGAAATTTCAGAGTAGCTGGAAGTGTTTTTAGCTCAAGAAAACGTGAGGAATGTATTGTGTGTTGTGTCTTGTTGCAAACCACCTGCCAGCTATTTATAGGAGGATTTGTTGTGTGTTAAATGGGATGTTAATGGACCTGAACGTTGGACATCAATGACCAGTCCGTTGGGCATTGAATCGTCCATAAACTGTCCATTTAACGCAGCATTAAAAGACACGAACGTTGGACATTTATTGTTGTAACGGATCAGATAGCCTTCTGTTGCGAACAGAAGACCTCGAGCGTCTCTGTTGCGAACAGAAGACGTCGAGGGTTTCTGTTGAGCCATTCTGTTGCGGACTGAATACCTCGAGGGTTTCTGTTGAACCGAACAGAAGCGGATCAGTTCTGTTGAGAACAGAACCCCTTCTGATCCGGACAGAAACAGACCGATTCTGCCAGCTTGGAAAAAATAAAGGAACGTTACGGGAAGAAACCAAAACCAAATCATATCCTTGAATGATAGATTTTTCGGACAACATTCATGTCCGCAGGTCGCCCTTAAGAGAGAGCCTTTACCTTTAGGAATCTTAACTCCTTAAAAGAGGCTTCCCTCTATAAGGGGATGAAAATCCCTTGAGTTTTCCGGTGTGGGATAAAACACACTAGAAACCCATCATTTTCCCAGTTTTTCCATTTCAACGAGTCAACTTCGAGAATCAATTTCTCATTCACCCGTTATCCGTTTTGAGTGTACCACATATCGAATTGTAGCCCTTAACAAGGACAATCCGAAACCACTTTGACCCGACCTAAATCGGAAGTGGACCCCACTCAAATAATTACCCCAAAATGACCATTTAATGCAATTTTTAACACATTTTTCCAACACATCCCATTGAGAAGAAAAAGAAGAAAAAGAAGGAAAGTGTGGGATGAAAGGGTAGCGGCGCCCATGGTGGGACGATAGAGCGGCAGAGGGCTTTATATCGAATGAGGAGAAGGGAGCAATATGTTTCTTTTTTTTATGAGGGTATTTTTGTCCGTTAACATGTAATTAGTATCTTTTCTGTCCAAATTGAAAACTTGTCCTATTTTTATCTAAGTAAAAGTTGGCAGTAATATTTTGGGCATTAATTCCATATTTATTTTTTGACTCAATTTTGTCCAATAAACATATACTATGTATATAATATAAAAATAATAACTTATACTGTAGTATGCAATGCCTGCAATAATATTATATTCATGAATTGTAATGATCCGGATGATCATATCAAATTTTTAATGTGTAAGACATACTCCATAGTAATTAATTTGTACCCCGAAGTACCTTATTAAAAACTATGATGACCAAAAGTCAGTAATAATTTGTTCGACTATTCGTTGAGTCGACTGTGAACGCATGGTTAGCTCTTAAAAAGAATAGCTCTTCTTCATCTTTTACCCTTCCTTATTCCTTTCCTTGAACATTGATCAAGCATTTCTCTACGCGTTGATCCGACCTACCTTTCTTATGCAATTTCTAGTTTGCTCGGAAATAAGTTCTTTTTAGAGCATGGGGTAGAGGGCCGCAGAGGCTTCCGCTAGATTTTGAAGGTCATTTCGTCAAGGGAGCATGTAATACTAGGAAGGTCGATTGATTGCCTAGCAAGGCCGGCCCTAACATATAAAAAGCCCGATTCAGGATTGAATATGAGACCCTAAAGTATAAAACACAATATTAATACTCTCTTCGTTTTTAATTAATTGCCTCCTTAGGTTTTTGTGATTTTTAAGAAGAAAATAATAGAGTAGTATAAAGGTGTAAGATAGACGAAAAATTATGAAAGAGAATATTTTAAGAAAAGTAAAATAGTGATAAATAATGAAATAGAAAGTAGTATGCAAGTTTGTCCAAAACTATACGTGGGCTTTGTGCTAATTACTGCACCTAGACCTTATTTAATAAAGAAATTGCACAACTGTAATTAACAATTGCATTTTAATTATATATATATATATATATATATATTGTATTACAAAAATACTAAGATATGAATCTTTAATCAAATAAATAATGATTTTGTATATTATGTAGACTATATTTAAAATTTTGGGTCTTTTGAATTGGGAGGTCTTGGACGGTAGCACTTCTTTGCCCTCATCTACAGTCTTGTTGCCTAGCATCATGCAAGCTATTAGAGCGAGAGAAGCGGCAACATGGGCCGGAAGACAAGGTTAATATCACATCATTATTATCAAGACGAATGCACATGTGATTACATCTAGATTGGAACATAATTCAGAAGGCTCTTACCTAGATATGGTGATGGAAGAAATTAGACACATTCTTCGTAACGAAGATTTTTTTGTCCACTACTGTACACAATTTGCGATTCGTGCAACCCATAGTTTAGTTAGGATAACCTTTTCTAGTGCGGGTGATAGTGAGTTTAGTTCGAGCCTGATTTGTATTTTGAGCCGACGGACTATTTCATTCATTAATGAGATTTTGCATGTTGTTGTTCAAGAAGTTTTTCTAAGTAACATT